GCCGTCCCAGAAGAGTTGAAGCTGTTATAGATGGAAATGGTGGGCCAACTTAATATTGAACCCTACGAACTAAGACTGGGATGCCATTAAACGTCATGTGTGTGTAAAGGCAGGCGTCCCAATACTTTTGGCAATATAGTGTATACACACACATACACAGTGCATTAAGGACTACTTCCAGCATTTTAAAACAATCTACTGAGACTGACAGTTACTGTGGAAAACTATTCCACATTTGTAAAGTTGTTACGGTAAAGAAGCCTTTTCAAATGTAGAGATTAAATGTATTTTCCTTTATTTGCAGAACAGCTTTCCATTAGGCTAACTCTACAGACAATGTATGTATCTATACTTTAAGTAAAGCACAACCATCATTTGGCACTACTAACACAGATGGGAGAACTTGTGTTTCTAATGAGCAATTGAAACTAACTCCATGTAGATTCCTTACGTTTTAGGAAGGCTATACTGTGCCTCACAAACCAGCAGATATAGAGTTGGCCCGTGATTTGCATGGCTCTGTCGAATATCCTAAATTAATTGTGAGGAAAGTGAGACATTTAGATACTTTGTTTTACAAAGGCCATGCTGTGCTTTGCACGATTTTAGTGGAGGAATTACTGGTTCCTTTGAGTCCACCTTCCCATAACCTGTCAGGTTATAATTTTTTGTTGGTCCCCAGGTCCTATTCTATAAATACCATGCTTTCCATCCACTGAATTGATGATGGCCAACAAGCTTGGCCAACAAGCTTGAAACAAATTTAAACAGTTTGGAATAAATGGCTCTGTAATGTTTGGCTGTATCTGAAAACCAACAATTCTGGATGCACAGCTAGCACAGGGGCAAAAATGAAGCGATTTATATTGATGTAAACAGAGAAACAAACATTTTAAAACTATAACGCAAATTGATAAAATTACTCACGGTAGACTATGCAACTCATTCAAAACCCTTTCTACTTGCTATCTGAATCAATTTTGTGAAATTCTGTGTTCTACAGATATACACTTTGTTATGATTACCATTATTGCAGTATTTTCTAATCATGTTTGCATAAATCAAACACACATATGCTTAGCAGGCAAATACACACACAAACACGGAAACACACATCCAAACAGGCTCCCATCTCCTCTTCTACTCTTTTCCTAGGCCTAGCACTACACAGACTTTTAGTAGCTAAATCAAACTACTAAAATCCTATGAAATTGATCTCTTATGCAGCAGTTCATGTTCATTTAAGGCCCCATTCACATTTAAAATGGGGACAATTGCATTAATATCATGAATTGTTTACTTGTGAATATGGGCCCTAATGTGAGCTGCTACCAACTGAGTTATTGATCTAGCAAAACTATTAAATGTAGCAATTTAATTTTATGGCATAAACGGTTTGCAATTATTCTCCTCTCTTCTCCTCCATAGAGGGGATTAATCACTAAAAAAAAACACAGTTTTGGGCGATTCTTATGCGATTTTTAATGATCCAGTATACACCATGGGCTTAATCCTAAGAATAACCCAACAATCTTCTGCAGGAGCAGAAAATAGTGATTTAATCTTTATGAGATATTTTCTGTTTGAAAATCACTCATGTAGCACTACTTGTCTTTTCCCAGTTTACCATTGGAGACACTAAAGCTGGCCCCACACTATTAGATATTTTTTTTTTTATTCAGTCTGACAGGGCCAACCATTTAGCGAATTTCACTCAGTGTATGGCCGGCTAAAGGGAGGTGGGCAGGGATTAGCACTACACTAAGCACTCAAGTAAACTAAGTCTATGTGCTTCAGCTATTTTTTTTACTCGGACAACTATATGAGGTCAGGTGTAGATGTGGGATGTGGGGCCCCAGGCACAAGACCTAGTACCATAAATATGTCTTGTAACTTTCGGACACATGATCCAGCTATTCTGCTTCCTTTTTCAAAAGATGTAGCTTAGGAGGAAGAATTTCTGTAGATCAGGCTGGTAATTTGAGTTTGTTATGTTACACTTAGAGGAAATTTGCTCTGCAAAACATTTCATAGTTATGACATATGAAGGTATTATGCTGTCAATCAGGAATGAGAGATGGAGAGATGCTGATATTTCTGGAGGGCTGGCACCTTTCTGCACATCATGTCAGTTGAAGCAACCGCACTAATGGTAAAGTAAGTTTTACATTTTTAATAAAAACTGTTCCTATTTAATGCTTTAACCTTAGCCGGCCCCCTAATTAACTCCTTCTTCCTCAACAATTTTTTTAAATTTGCTTAAATTGGTTTTTCTTGTCATATGTTATCTTGTCATATGTTAACATTTTCATCTATTTTTTTTCATTATTTTCTGTAGTGTTGCATTTCAAAAATAGACAACTTAAAAAAGCCTTTAATTACATAGTTACATAGTATTTGAGGTTGAATAAAGACACAGGTCCATCAGGTTCTACCTTTGCATGTCTGTGTGTGGTGTGTTGTGCATGCATGTGTGTATATGAGTCCCTGTGTGGTCTTAGTTTAGAGTACCTGGTCAGAGTACCTGGTAGGGCGATTATGCCTTGTTCTGTATCTATTCTGGCCTGAAGATATACAAGGTCCTGAGTTGGAACCAGATGGCTTTTCTCCCAGTTCACTATCCATCCAAATTCTTCAAGACTTTGATTTAGCAGGAGGATATCGTCGTGATAATGATATATGTAAACTCCACTTCTCTGAAACATGGCGACCAGAGCCAGAAGAACTTCCGTAAAGACTCTGAGATGTGGTGAGACCGAAAGGTAGGTAAATAAACTGAAAGTCCATTTTTGCCACAGAGAAACAAAGACATTTTTGAAAATCTGTATTAACCGGGACAATTGATAATAGCCAGTCTTCCAGTTAAACCACTTTCAGGATCGTTTGTAACGGTTCCATTTTGAAACGTTCCTTTCTCACATACCTGTTGAGATATGTCAGATCGATTACAGGCCTCCAGTCTCTTGTCTTTTTCTGTACTAAGAAGAGTGTTGAATAGATGCCTGAATAGCATTCCCGGTGGGGCACCAGCACAATAGCTCCTTAAGCTAATAAGTTCTCTACATAAGTCAGAAGTGCCTTTCTCTTGGTGCTGCACAAAGGCATCTTTTTTGGCAGAAAGCACATCCTGGGTGCTGTTCCAAATTTCCAAGAGTGACCCACTGAGATAGTTTCTAGTACCCAACGATCCGTAATACTGTCCGCCCAGATTCGCTGAAATTTGGAGAGCCTTGCTCCCACTTGGCAGGTTTAGGCGTGTGAACCATCAAAAGGACTTTTGTGTAGTCTGACCCGATGTTGAGAGTCTTCTTCTGCCTCGATGAAAAACCAGAGCTTCAAAATTATTTTCCTGGCCTGTAAGTTCTTTCCTGTGATGCTTTTCTGAAAAGCGCATTCTTCAGCCTCATCAACCTTTTATCTTGAGGAATAAACCCCGATTTACCACCAGTAGCTCTTACAATCGCGGTGTCTAGCTTATTACCGAACAGGGACTGACCCTCAAACAGAATTTTTTTTTACCTACCTTGTTTTGATAAAGGGTATGCAACCCATGGTCTAAGCCAAAGGGTTCTTCTCCCGGTAACTGCTGCTAGCATTACTCTTGACAATGATTTTATCATGTCAATGGAAGCCTCAGGGACAAATGTAGATGATAGCTTGATGTGCCTAAGAATAGCTGAAATCTCAGGTTTACTGAGATCGTCCAGCATTGCCGTCTCTAGGTTATCTGCCTAAACTTCCAGGGCCTTCGAAGTTGTCGCTACCGCAACTGCCGGTTTACAGGCTCCTCCTGCCAGCAAATAGATCTCTTTAGGATCCAAATCTACCAGTATGTCCAGCACATCCTTAAATAAAACCGCATTGTCTAATGGTAATGTAACGTACCTTGCTAGCCTCATTGGGGCCGCATCCACAGTAGGAGACGCCTCTAAGTATTTAACATCTTTATTTTTAAAAGGGTATATCTGTTTTTAAAAAATGACTTTTTCTCAACTTGACCCCACTCATCAAAAATATTGTCTTTTTATTTCTTCCATAAAAGGGAAAACAACATATTTATTTCTTAACATGCCCAAAGTATCTTTTCTTCTTCTCCGGCTGCTCCACCGGATCCTCCCAAAGGGCCTGTCTAACTGCCCTAATGAAGGGCTGAACTAAAGCGAAATCAAGGCCTTTGAATTGGTCAGCCTCTTCCTCTGAAGACGAGCTACCTGAATGCTCCCCAGAGATATCATCCTTCCACGCAGCAAGACATGTACCCAAGGTACCTGACACAGGATCTGGGTGTGGTAGTGCAGTTGCAGGTCAATCAGGCTGTTGTTTGAAAGCAAACTCTTTTAAAGTATCTTGAGAAACCTTTTTCATCAGTGAAATGGCTTGTAAATTAGCAGTTTCTTTGTCTCTCATTGCCTCAATAAAACATGCCTCACACGCTTTCTTGCCAGGTGGGGCTGGGTTAGGACATACCCAACATTTACTTGGAGGGGGTTTACTTGGAGAGTGATGCCGTTTACAACATGTACTTGGAGAGTGATGCCGTAAGTCAGAGGTGTATGGGGGTAGTTGCTGGCAATTGGAGGGAGATCTATTACGCATATCTCTGTCTCTGTGCTGGGAATAAATTCTATCCCTGGAGGGAGACCTGCACCTGATGGATAAGAATGACCTTTGTTCATTCCTGGAAGAGCGAGATAGTTCCTTTGAAGATCTGGGTGGGCTGTGATTGCAGCAATACACGAATTAGAAGTCATAACTCGAAAAAAATAGGTAAAAAGATGTGGGGAGTAGCCGCCTACCTACTCTGGTCTTTTTGGGGGGTTAGCTTGTCTGACATCATGCTATAAAAACAGGAGTGCCATTAGGAGAGAGCAGGCATAAATAGTGTTTAAATGAGCCTAATAAAAAAGGCATACCTTCCTGAGCAGAATGGTTGGTAAGGCAGCAACCGATAGGAGCAAAAAATCCACACAATTGCATAGCCAGCATAAGCACCGACAGACCTGTCAGCTGCAGAGTTTAAATAGACTGTCGGAGAAAAGGCTCCGCCTCCCCCATCACCGCCATCAGCCGACTTGCGCATGCGCCATAGGTGTCTCCTGAACTTCCTCCCGAAGGGAGCAGATTAGCTGACACTGCCCCGCGTTCCACACACACACCAGCCGGCCGCTTGGAGAGAAGAAAGAGGACATCGTACAACAACAACCCCCATTTTTCTCTGCAATTTATGCAGAATGACAGATACCCTCTGGAATGGCTTCACCGGGACTACACGCCCATGATAAGAGGGTGGACAGCAAGAGATTTACGCCTGCAAGGTAAGTGAATTGCTCCATCCGAAACTGTAAAGGAAAGAGGAACAAAAGAGGAACAGAAGGGCTTTTGGGAAGGTCAAATTTATGAGTTACGATCCTGTTAAAGGGGAGGAGGGTGGGATTAACCCATTTGTGTGCTGCCATGGAGCTGAAAGGAAACATACATTTACTTTTTGTAATAATGTTGTGGGGTTTGGAAACAAATGATCAGGCATGTGCATGGGATTCTGTTCACATGACATAAACTTTCAGTTTGCTTTGAATACTGCTGATAATTACTCTAGGTGACGGAGCCCAGAGTATTTAATGTTCCATTGCTGGTAAACACTAGCAATAGCTTATTGTCGGGTTGGATTTCATCCAACGGAACCTGTAGACCGACAATCTTGTGTTTCCAGAAGCAATACCATTATTATAAAAAAACATTTTCATGCTTTACTGGTTGTAAAATGGCTTTGAATATTATTACATGTGAGATGACTATATTTCTACTGATAAGAAACAAACGTATGATCAATAACTTGGACAGCGACAGCGACATTAAATTCTAGCATTGTATATTTTGCATGTGTAATTATTTTTTTGGTGTTACGTTATTGCTTTCCTTAAAGTGTTATTAAAGTGTTATTAAACCTTTTTTTTTTTAATTAGGAGGCTCACACTTACATGAATTTACTATTCTTCTTCTTTAAAGTTTTTTTATTTCTTCCTCCTCTAGCTGGTCCCCAAACCACTAGCCCACATGGCCTGTCTGCAGGTGTCTCCATCAGCTAGCCGGCTGCTGAAGAGACACCTGTGTGCACACATTTCTGGCTGTGGCCATGCCTAGCTTTGTACGTCCACAGACACACACTGCATGCAGCAAGCCACGCCCCTGCTCTCTCCACCACCCTTCTCCCAACAGATTGACCGACGGAAGAAGGAGCCTATTGATCCACTGCCCTCTGTACACTCCTACATAATTTGGGAACGCCGGAAAGGGCCATGGAAAGGTGCTGGGCATTTTTTACCTAAATTAGGGTAGCACACTTTATTTTTAAAACCAGAGGTAATAGGCCTGAATTGACCGTTGAAATAGCAGTAAAAAAAAGAGCTAAAATCTATAGGAAATTGTATTCTTGCAAAAAAACGAACAAAAAACCCCAAAACATATGATTCTGCACTACAGAGCCCAATGGGAACGACACCTCAATTGGAAAAGTTGGCAGCAAAAGGCAGGCCCTTCTCATTCCTCAAGGGTGCACAACAGTCACTTTTATTTAGAGAGCTTCTAATGCACCATTTTCCTTATCCTTATTCATCAAGGATGCATAGCAGCCACTTTCTTTTACAGTGCTGCTTATGTGCCCCTTTCTCCCGCTCCGGCGCAAGAAAGCATAGCAGCATTTCCTCCTCTCCCTCCTCTCCACTTTCCTCCCCCCTTCTTTTCTCTCTCTACTTCCCTTCACTTTTCCCTTTCTTTCTTTTTCTCTTTTTCCATTGTATTGCTGGTGGTTGTATCCCCTTTCGCTCTTTTACCTTCCTTATCTATCACTATGGAGTCGCTCTTTAGAGCTGCAATGGAAAAGATTCCTGCTCCTGTCAATCAGTCCACAGAATGCTTGCTTAAAAGGTTTGGAGTCCCGTCTCCCAAGAGTCCCACATACCAATGTTTTCCTGTTCCTCCTCCTCCTTTTCTGCTAATCCCACGATAGGTTGCTGGCTGCGAGGGAGGAGAGATGTGGTTCTGGCATGGAGGAGTCTAGCAAAATCAGAAAAGTCTGCACACCCGGGGGGCAAGGCTTACCCATGGCGCCGCGAAGACGCGTCTTCTTGGAGCTCTGCATCCGCCGGCACTGACCCACTCTCCAGGTGACGATATTATCCCTCTCTTTGCATGTCACGGCCACAGGGCAGCCAGGTGCAACTCCAGAGCTCCCGACAGTCCGCCCCGACAGGATTCTTTGCCCCCGCTGACCCCTCGAGCCGGGTAGGTGGATCGTCGCACATGGCGACTACCCGATCGGCGGCAGCAGGCCCCACTCCTTCTAAAGCCAAGTGCAAGGTGGCGGCACCTCTAAATGACGGGGCGGAGCGGACCCGCGATCGGGACCGGCCCCCATCCCCGTTGGAGGCTATGGCAGCGACGATCGTGGCGGCCCTCAGGCAGGAAGTGCAGGAAATTGGGCAGCGAGTGACATCCCTAGATGGACGTGTGTCCACATTGGAAGAATCTACGGCTTCTCTCACACAACGGATGTCGGCCCACTCAGATATGGGCACACAGATCACAACGGCTTTTCTCAGACTGAATGACGGCGAAAACCGCAACAAATGCAACAACCTGCGGCTGCAAGGTATCCCTGAAGCTACAACCTGCGATCCACAGTCCTGGCAATTCTCAACCATTACCTGGATAAACCCCCTGACGCGGTCATGGAATTGGATCGGGTACATCGAGTTCTGGGAGCTCCCTCACAGGCCACTGTCAACTCCCCGCCTCGTGATGTCCTATGCCAGGTCCACTTTTATGCGATCAAAGAGTAAATCTTGCGGCAAGCCTGGCACAAGGGGCCAATGTACTTCGATGGGGCTCCTATCCACATCATGCCTGACCTATCCAGACATACCCTCTGCATGCGACGATCCCTGCGGCCCTTGCTGGAGATCATCCGCTCCTCGGATGCCTCATACAGATGGGGGCACCCTTTCCATCTTATTGTGTGGAAGGGCGACGTCACATTCCAACTAAACCATCCTCAACAGCTGCCGACTATGTTCTCTTTCCTGGGGGTGGAGGCTATACCTATTCCGAACTGGCTGGACTTCTCCGAGGATCGACAGTCACCTGCCCCGCTCCCGCATGGAGCCCCCAGACCAGGGAGGTCCCGCAGCCGAGCCAGACGGCGCCCAGCACCTGGCCCTTCCCACACACGGAGCGAAGCCTGATGACCCATACTTCTGGTTGCTGAGTCGCAACCCCAGGTGTTTTTGTTACAATCCTTGTGTTTTACTGCTGTTTTAAGCGGGAACTGTCTCTTGTGTTGCTGTACCATTATAATCACTGAGGTTGGCCCCCTTTTGGACCTTTACCGGACCTAAAGTTTGGTCCTGTGGAGGTCTCAAGGACGGCCTCCTTGTCACTGCTATTCAAGCGGGTGGGGGGACACCTTTTACATTCCCATACGGTTCTTATATGCAGCCCTCATGGGGGGCACAGGGATACAGGTGGCGCAATTGGAGTTGGGGATGCAGTCATGGAGTGACCCCTGCACGGGGGGCTCGGGGGCGGCGTCCTCTCCCCTCATGGGCATCCAGGACACGGTTACTGGGGACTACTCTGTTTTACCATGCCTTGAACAATGACGTGGGGTTATGTTGCCGAGTTGATGCATCTCCTATACTGCTGTTGTTTTGACCACTGTTTTGTTACAACTTTACCCCCATAGGATATGCGTTCACACCCTAGTTGTACAGGGGTGTTCGCAATTTCAAGGTTTTGGCTGACCTGTAGTCAGTGTCAGCGACATTTTCTTCTTCCGACTTTTCTTACATATGCTCTACTTCCTTCTTTCTGTTTCTCCTCATTTCGCTCTTGTATCTTGGTCTCTTTCCCCTCCTCCCCCCCTCCTTTCCTTTTCAATCTCACCTGCCACCGGGCCCTGTGCATACCCGGTGGCGGGAATGGCTCCGCTCTCAATATATTCCCTGAATGCCAGGGGCCTGAACATCCCTGAAAAACGCTCTAGGCTGCTATCTGACTTGCGGGAAGCTAGGGCACAGGTGGCCTTTATTCAGGAAACACACTTCAAGATAGACGAGGCTCCCAAATTGGTCAATAGAGATTATTCAGTGGTGTATTATGCTGTGTCCCCGCTCTCCAAGTCTAAGGGTGTGAGCATCATGAGCTCCAGGTCGGTGGGTTGGACTTGTGTTGACCAACTAGTAGGCGAGATGGGTCGATATCTGGTGGTAAAGGGACGCTTAGGCGGGATCATGGTGACGCTGGCCAATGTGTATCTGCCCAACTCTGACCAGCTCCAGTTTCTAGACTTTTAACGTTGCCCTAGACCCTACTGTAGATACCTCCAGCTCAAATTAGCCCTCCAGCAACTTCATCTTATGGACGTGTGGCGGACCCTGTTCCCTGAGGGACGAGATTTTACCTACTACTCGACAGTCCACCAATCCTACTCGACGATTGATTACTTCCTGCTTCGCCACGCGGACCTGTCTAAGGTTCTCTTGGCAACTATAGGTTCACCTCTTCTATCCGACCACGCCCCGTGGGGACGTATCGACTTCACTGAGGGACTATTTCCGTACGAATGGCGAAGAAAGTGCTGACCCTCTGACTGTGTGGGAGGCACACAAATGTGCCATATGGGGCGTCCTCATCAAACACGGAGCGCGACGGAAACGGGAGAGTAATGCCCAAACCGAGGCCCTGCTAGACCGTCTCCGTAGACATCTCAGTACATAAGAAATCCCTCGCAGTGGTGACCTACAGGGAACTAGTGCAGGTTCGAGAGACTCTCAATGCTCATCTATTCGTGTAATGCGCCTAACTACTCTGTCAGGATCTCAACTGCAGAGTCGGGTTGCATCAACTGGAGCACGTCTCCTAGTTGATTGAATTTCGTAATGGGTGAAATCAGTCGGAGCTTCAGTGCCACTCTCAATCATAAAACGGAGAGTTTTGAAGCTACCAGCATCATTTATCACCGGATGTAAACTGAAATCATATTTAGCACGAAAGTAATTCTCGATATCATATAAGTACAATTTG